GGGGCTGGGAGCCAGGACTCCTGGGTTCTCTCCCTGGCTCTGGGACGAGAGTGGGGGCTGGTGGGTTAGAGCAGCAGGGTCCAGGAGTCCTCTGCCCCAGATTGGCTGCATGACCTCAAGTCACCTCCATAGAACAGGGATATAGACAGCTCCTGGGTGGGGGGATGGGGAAGTTAATTAGTTCCTGTCTGAAGCACACTGAGGATAATTCAGCTGTCTGAGGGAATTATATGCATCCGAAGAAGTGGGTTGTAGCCCACGAAAGCTTATGCTCTAATAAATTTGTTAGTCTCTAAGGTGCCACAAGTACTCCTGTTCTTTTTGCGGATACAGACTAACACGGCTGCTACTCTGAAACCTGAGGGAATTCTGTTCCCTTCCTCCCTGCAGGTCCTGGTTGTCCCCAATGGGCAGCTGCCACATCCCAGGTCAGAATTTACCTACAAGTTCCTCTAGTGTTGTTGCTTCCAATGTGTCCCGAGATGAATTCAAACTGGGCTTGGGTCCCATTGCCCAGTTCTGTCGCTCACAGGGCTCATTCGACCACGAGGCCAGGTGGGGGCTGGAGGCTCTTACTCCCAGGGAAGCCAGTGGCAAAACTCCCGAGGGACAGGACCAGGCTGAGCCTCAGAGACAGAAACAGGCAGGCTCCTTGCTGTGGGCGCTAGAGGTTGTGAGGTGGGGAAGCTGCTGGCGATAGAGGAAGTAGTGGGCTGTAGGGGATGGGGATTGACAGTGGTATAGAACCACTGGAAACTCCCATTTCCTTAGCCAAGCTGGGATGTGGACTCTAGGAGCGGCTTATCTTCCTCGTCAAATGGATACAACTCCTCCTCCTCCTCCTCCTCCGTGTAGCTGCCTTTCAGAGCCTTCCGTAGCTTGGTCCAGAAGAGCCTCTGGGCCGCAGGCTCCGGGGGCCAGCTGATGTAGGTCTTCTTGAGCATCACCTTCCTCATGCGGTGGTAGGCGGACAGCTCCCTGTCGGGGATGGCCTCCAGGAGCACCATCACCAAGACGTCCTTGAGCTCCTCGAAGAGCCGGTAGCTGGCCAGCTGGATCTCCAGAGAGCACCACTCACTCTGCAGGTAGCTGCGGCTGATGACACAGATGGTCTTGCGGCTGTTGTAGATGCTATCCACGATGTTGTCGACAATGCTCTTCCCCAGCTCGAAGTCCCGGTGGTGCAGGCAGAGGCGGAAGGAGCCCTGGCAGCTCTCCAGGCTCGGCACCAGCTGCTCCAGCACCCACCCCTCGTCGGCAGAGTTGTAGGAGACGAAGGCATCGTACTGGAAGTGCTCCCCATCCTGCCTCCTCCAGCGGTCGTTCACCCAGGAGCGCAGGATGTAGAAATGGTACTTGAGCCGCCAGTAGGCCCGGTGGTAGACCAGGGGCAGCAGCATGAGCAGCAGCAGCGCCGGGGTGGTGACGGAGAACAAGTACAGCCCCACGTCCAGGAAGCAGACGTGTGTGTCAAAACTGTACACGTAGCCCAGCTGCTGGCGGGAGTCGCAGGAGTAATTGTAGAGATACACCACCTGCACCCGCCTGTTGGTCAGCCAGTTCTGGAACCACAGGTTCTCGCAGGTGCAGCTCAAGGGGCATTTGCGTAGGTCCAGGTACCTGAGCAAGCCCAGTGTGTTGGCCACACTCACATTGACGGTCTGCAGCTGGTTCTTGGCCAGGAGCAGCGAGGTCAAGTTGCTGAGGTTCCCGAAGACCTCCAGTGTCAGCGAGTGGAGCCCCACGTTCTCCAGGTTCAGTTTCTGCAGGCGGCGGAGGTTTTTGAAGATCCCAGGCGGCAGATCTTGCATGCCATTGCAGCTGTCAGCCAAGCTCAAGTACTGCAGCTGAGCGAGGTCGTCAAAGGCATCTGGGGAGATGGAGAGCAGCTTGTTCTCTGACAGATAGAGGGAGCGCAGTGAGGCCAGGCCTTGGAAGAACTTGGCGGGGATGATTTTCATGCCGTACGGCTGCTGACCTTGTAGCTTGAGATCATAGAGTTTGTGCAGGTGCCTGAAGGGTGGGCTCTTGTGCTGCGTCTTGGTGATGTATTGCAGTTTGTTGCCCGTCAAATCCAGCACCTCCAGCGTGGCCTGCACCGGGTAGAAAATGTCACTGCTGATCTTCTTGATGCAGTTGCCATCCAGGTAGAGTTTGGAGAGGCTGCTTAGCCCGCTGAATGACTTATTGGTCAAGTTGCGGATGTTGTTGCCCCCCAGGTCCAGGATCTGGAGCTGGCAGAGTTTCCCGAAGACCCAGGGGAAGAGGATGGAGACGCGGTTATTGCGGAGGTTGAGGGTCTGGAGACTGACCAGGTCGGCGAAGCTGGACTTGTAGAGGTCGGTCAGCAGGTTGTTATCCAGCCGCAGCTCAGTGAGGTAGTACAACCCCTTCAGGGCGTGTTTGTCCAGGTAGGCGATGGTGTTGATGTTGAGGTGGAGGATGCGCAAATTGGGGGCGTATCTGAATGCCCAGTATTTGACTGAGAGGATGCGATTGTAGCGGAAGCTGATATTCTGCAACTTCTTCAAAGAGGAGGAGCTTTGGCAGGTGCTAAGTCGGTTCAGCAGGTTATGTTCCACCACCAGGCTCTCCAGAGGCTTGTGCTGCCACTTGTCCACGCAGTCCAGCCACCTGAGCTTGTTCCACGAGAGGTCCAGAGTCCGGATCGGCGGGCACAGGGCGAGGGACACATTCCTCAGCTCCCGGATGTTGTTGCTCTGCAGCCGGAGGTGCTTGAGTTGGTGCTTGCCCAAGCGTTGGCAGACCTTGCTCACGCCTTCGTTGCCTAAGTGCAGGCCGGAGTAGTCCAGCCTGCGAGGCCGCAGGCTGGACACATTTAGAAGGTGGAAGACATCCAAGGGGTTCCCCTTCAGCAGCAGGTAGCTGAGGTTCTGGAGCCCGGCGCCAGCAAAGGAAGTGACGTTGGAGATGTTGTTATAGGACAGGTCCAGGTTCCTGATGTGGCGCAGGAGCTGTGAGCCGCCGCCGTCCACGGCCTGGAGTGAATTGTTGCACAGATGCAGGATGGAGAGGGAGCGGGGGAGTGGACAGCTGGAACGGAGAGAATTCAGCCTATTGCAGGACAGGTTCAGCACCCGCAGTCTCCTCAACCCCTGCAGGCTGCAGGCCACGTCGGCGAAGCTCACCAGGCGGCAGGAGTACAGGTCCAAGGTGCGGAGGTTGCCCAGGGGCTGCAAGGCGCGGGGGTGAATCGTGCTCAGGGGGTTATTGCTCAGGGAGAGGTTGATGAGGTTACCCAGGCCTCGGAAGGCTCCTTCGGACAGGTTGGCCAGGTGATTGTTGGACAAGTTGAGCGTGTGCAAGGCGCCAAGGTTCTCGAAAGCCCAATCCTCTATCGTCTCCAGGCGGTTACAGACCAGCTGCAGCTGCTGCAGGTGTGGCAGGTGGCGGAAACTGGCCGCAGGCAGGCGGCTGATGAAGTTGTGGGAGACGTTGACTAACGTGGCATTGGGCGGCAGGTCGCCCACAGCGCTGATTATGTCCTTCAGGAAGCGCTGGATGCACCGGAAGCTTTGTGGGTTCTCCATGGACTGGATACAGTTCCTGAAGCCATAGGCAACCGCCCCGGGCATGAGGAGCAGCAGTAAGGCCAGGAGGGGAAATACGGGGCCCATCCTGCCTCCCCGGGGACTGGGGGCTCTCCACACTGGCACAGACCTAGAACCAGAGGGTCAGTATGAGCCTCTGCTCTGAACTGCCTGGGGCAGAGGGTGGGGGGCAGGGTCTTGGCATCTATCCTGGCTCTAGGAGGGGAGTGGGGTCTGCTGGATTAGTGGGGGCTCTGGGAGCCAGGACTCCTGGGTTCTTGCCCCAGCTTTGGAAGGGGAGTGGGGTCTGGTAGTTAGAGCGGGCGGGGGGGGGGGGGGGAGCCAGGACTGCTGGGTTCTCTCCCCGGCTCTGGGAGAGGAATGTGATCTTGTGGGTTACAGCAGGGGGGCTGGGCTGGGACTCAGGACTGCTGGGTTCTAGCCCTGGCCTTGTATGTAGCTGCACCCCATTGCAAATTCCTGTCTTATTCCCAGCAGCCCTGGGTGGTTTGTGGTACCACTGGGGGATGGTTCTCACCTGGTGTGTCCCGGCGCAGGGATGGGGAATGGCTCAGGGTCCCGGCAGGCTCTTAGCTGAGCCCCACGGCACGGTCCGTCTCTCTTTCTTGCTGGAGGAGGCAGTGAGGGGTGCTGGGAGTTTTGCCAAGGAGGCGTCTGAGACTTTGAATGAGGAAGTGCTTGGGAGTATCATTTTCAGTCACATTTTGGGCGGACACTCAGTGGGGTTACAGCTGCACAGAGCTAGGGACAACTGCTGCAGAAAGGCCCACAGCAAGGGGGCAGGACTCCTGGATTCTCTCCTGGCTGTGGAGGGCAGTGGGGTCTGTTGGGTTAGAGCAGGCGGAGCTGGGGGCCAGGACTCCTGGGTTCTCTACCTGGCTCTGGGAGGGGACGGTTGTTGCCGGGACTGAGGGAGAGAGGAAGCACTCAATAGAGCAGTGGCTGGGGCACAGACAGAAGAGGGGATCTGGCACGTGGATTTGCCCCTGGGAGAGCTTCCTCCCCCACACCCTCTCCCTGCTGCTGTGGGCTCCACGGCTCCAGAGCCAAGGCCCACTCCTCCCTTGCCATCTCGGAGGGGGCCGGGTAGCGCCTGTTGGGAGGGGTGATGCGTCCCGGGAGCAGGCCGAGGGAATCCAGCTGAGACCTCTTTCACTTCTCCTTTGCGGGGCCCTGCCTTCCCGCTGCAGCCTGCGATTCCGCTGACAGGACCCAGCACGCTGCAGGGAGGCAAACCGCAGCCCGTGGGCAGGGGCCACCTGCCCCCACGGCGGCTGATTCGGGGGCGGGGGGAACAAAGTGGGAATTTTCTGTTGTATTTTTGAGTGCTGGGTGTGCCTCAGTTTCCCCTGCACGGCTGCCCAGCGTGGGAGAGGGGTTCCGTCTGTGCTCGGGCCAGACTCACAGACATGGGGGAAGTGAAGGGGCCTTAAGGAACTGGCTGCACCCGACCCAGATCAAGAGAGGATGCCAGCCCCTGGACTCCCCCCCTCGGCAGGAAAGCTGAGCCCGAGGCCTGAGAGAGGTGGGGGGGTCCTGGGATCTGACCGCGGAGATCAGACACACGGAGCCTGACCGTGGGGTCGTGGCAGGTTGGCCGGGCTCTGGCTGACCAGGCCGGACTCTGCATTCACCGTAGGGTGACCAGACGTCCGGTTTTTGACCGGAACCCCCTGCACTGCTGACCGGGCCCTTGACTGTCTGGTTGGCGTCACCGCGCAGCAGCCGGCATGTCCCCCCCTCCGGCTCCTACAAGTAGGAGTAGCCAGGGGGCTGCCCCCGCCCCAAGTGCCACCCCTGCAGTTCCCATTGGCCAGGAACCACAGCCTGGGAGCTGCGGGGGCGGTGCCTGCAGAGGGGGCAGCGCGCAGAGCCGCCTGGCCGCGCCTCCACATAGGAGCCAGCAGCTGCTTGAGGTAAGTGCCCCCTGGAGCCTGCCCCCCTGACCCCCTCCCGGGCCCCAACCCCCTGCCCCAGCCCCGATCCCCCTCCCGTCCTCTGAACCCCTCGATCCCAGCCCGGAGCACCCTCCTGCATCCCAAACCCCTCATCCACAGCCCTACCCCAGTCTTCACCCCCAACCAGGGCACTCACCCTCCTGCACCCCAACCCCCTGCCCCAGCCCTGATCCCCCTCCCGTCCTCTGAACCCCTCTATCCCAGCCCGGATCCCCCTCCCATCCTCCGAACCCCTCGATCCCAGCCCGGAGCACCCTCCTGCACCCCAAACCCCTCATCCACAGCCCTACCCCAGTCTTCACCCCCAACCAGGGCACTCACCCCCCTGTGCCCCAACCCCCTGCCCCAGCCCTGATCCTCCTCCTGCCCTCTGAACCCCTCAATCCCAGCCCAGAGCACCCTCCTGCACCCCAAATCCCTCATCTCTGGCCCCACATCAGAGCCTGCACCCCTGCCGGAGCCCTCACCTCCCCCCCCCCAACCCCCTGAGCCAGCC